TCGTCGGAATTTTTAAGAGAGGACTTCTGAAGCTAAAAGAAGAAGGGAACCTTCCGGAAGCGCTGTCAAAACTACTGCTATGCTACCGGTGTACGCCCTGCCCGTCTTCGCCTAATAATCTTTCGCCCGCAGAGATGCTTCTTGGACGAAGGATGAATACACCACTCTCGCGTTTGGTCACTGACGAGAGAACTGTCACACCAAGCTGCTCTCCCGGATCGAAACCTGCGATGGAAGCTCAGTACAATGTACACCATGGAGCCAAGAAGAAGCGATTCGAAGTCTACGATGCCGTCTATGCTCGCGACTATCGCAATTCATCGAAACCTGCTTGCACTCCAGGACGTATACGATTGGACGCTCACTTTACAACGTCGAAGTCGAAGGATTTGTATGGAGACGCCATGCCAACCAGCTGCGTCCTCGTGTTGTTCCCGATGCCACACGCACGCTGTTGGACGAATTCGACCTTCTAGACTTCGACCTTCCCAGAACACTGACTTCCGCCGTGACCGTGGATATTCCCGCATCCGCTGCCCAGGAAGCTGATACCACCGAAGAGACGCTTGTAACTCTTGATGTTGAGCCTAGGGACGCCGAGGACTTCATCACTCCGCCGTCGCCCTCGCGTGCTCGCCGTCGCTCGCAGAGGATCCATCAACCACCACACCGCCTCGAAGTGGATCCGTCGAAAAAATACAATTAAAAACTTAAGGGGGGAGATGCTGGGGAGTGATGTGTACATATGTAGAATTTGCTTTGTATCGTTTATCCTTGTTTTATGCTGTGTTTCGATCCCTAGTATCCTGCTATGTTAGATTCAAACTCTTTCCCATGGATTTCCCGCCGTTCTCATAGAGCTCTACGGTACCGTAGCCATTTGATTCATTCGCTTTTCTGATCAGCTAATACTGAGTACTGAGTACTAACTACTGAGTATTCCACTGTGTCCGGTTCGACCCATCAAGACAAGGGCTACAACAGTGGTAAAAACTGAAAAACGAAATCCTGCCGAGGCACTGACTTCAAGCACATTATGCAAAGTAAGGCACACTGAGATGCTCACCTATCATCGTATACCTACGTAGGCAACAGAGAAGCCTTACCAAGTTTAGTGCGTATCATTTTCGTAGCTAGCATATCAAGTGACCCCTATGGACCGAGTCGCAACTCCCTTGTTTCCAGATTTTGGGCCACAACTGTTTTGAAGGTGGATAGCTATGCCTTTCTGCGCTCAATACAAAACACTATTATTCTGAGCACTTTCACTCAAATTAACCGCAAATTTATGGAATTAGAGGCCAGCCAAAACCCGATTTGTCCCATTTTCCCTTTTGTTGGTTGCGCTTTCAGCAAATATTGCTCAAATTCAAATCAGTCCTGTGAAACCTTAAAGATCTGAGTTAACAAATTCTCATGTTTTGCCTTCTTCTCTCGATATGTACCCTAAAATCTCACAGAGTCCTCCCTTCAAATAAGTTCGTCTACAGATAAGTCCGCCGTCAGATAAGTCCGCTTTTTTGACTCAGATAAGGCTCTTCAGGTAAGTCCGCTTTCTTTCCATTATAACCACCCCAAAATCTCACAGATAAGTCCGGATTATCTGTAAGCGGACTTATCTGATGAGATGACTTATCTCTGCAAGATTCTTGGCGGTGCGAAAGTGCACCTTCATCAATTTTTTTTGTCAAAAAGGCGAACTTATCTGTAAGATTTTAGGGTAGTAGCAGAAATTTAGCACATTACCGTAACCCAATATTTGCCATAAGCATAGGGTTGAAAAACGGCTATAGCTCTTCTAAGCGTTACGATTTATAATGAGAATTTTAATACGAAGAGAAGAAGGTTTATCGGTCTCAACATAAGAACTTGGTTAAATGAAGGCTTTGGAGTAAGTTAATGGGATATGGCATCTACTTGGGGAATTCAATATTTCTTTCGAATTTTTGGATATCGAATATGTTAAAAAGTTGAAAATTTCGAGTATTCGAATATCGAATATCATTCGATTTTTGAATATCACTCGATTTCCGAATATTTTTCGAAAAATTAATTGTTTATGTGACATGTTAACATGACCAAGCAAACAGCTTACAAGTATTGTGGGTCTTTGTAGTTTCGTTTCATACGACTACTATTAAGTACTTTTCATTTCTGGACAAATATGTGCATGCAGAAACTCTGAGCGAGGTTTCAATCATCAAGAACATAAAAATCTTCTTCAATAGCAGATTCATGTTAGTCTTCGGAATACGTTTCTTCTGAAGCTTGATAGAAACTTTTACAATGACGTGCTGTGCTTTTATGGAGGATCATTCTATGGCGTCGAATACTCGATTCGATGTTCATCGAATGCTTCGAATACTCGATAACCATCGGATATTTGAATTGATAACCGTCGAATATTCGAATATCGAATAACATTCGAATGTCAAAATTTTCGAATACTCGACTTTCGAATGATATTAAAGCTGAGATTTTCGAATATTTGATTATCGAACACATTCGAAAGCTGAAAATTTCTATTATTCGACCTTTAAATTTTATTCGAAATCTCAGATTCTCGAATATTTACTTTTCGAGTCATTCGCATTCGAATGATTTATTCGAATAAGCGAATAATCATTTGATTCGGTTTCAATTATAGTGTGGCACAATCCTCAAAAAGTTATGACAGCCGTTAGATGTATATATTGGGTGGGTCCGAAAGTTCGTGCCTTTTTCTAAACTTGTTTTGAAAACGTTCAGAATAAAGATAGACAAATCGTTCAAAACCATTCTATGCAGAATTTTTTCCTCTTTCCAGCAGATATGTCTCTTTATGACTGTCTTCGACGAGCGATGAGATAATTGCCAAAAACTAGAGTTTTCATTTTTACCATGTCTGATTTTCGCTAATTTTAATAATTTTCATTTTAGACTTTTGAAGGAGTTTTGACAATCACCTGACGAGGCAAACCTTTTTCGAATCAATGCAATTTTTTGCATTTTTTCAGCTTCCTCTTCAGAATTTTGCTGAATTATTTTACCAGAGCATTGAATTTTGAAAAAATCGCGTGACACATAATTGTACCAAAAACTGCAAAATTCTCAAAATATTGAAGTTTCAAAACTCGGTTATTACTATCCCTAGTATTGCGAACTAAAGAGCGATTAAAGGCAGTGGCTCGGCAAAACCAAACATCTTTAAATTTTGATATGGAAGGTTGCTTGCGTCCTAAATATCAGAAAAGAGCAGGTCCGAGCGCACCACATGCTGACGCTGCCTAAAAACTGTCCCTAAATCGTGCGCGCAAGCCATTCTTACACGCGCTCGGACGAGCTTGCTCCCCCTCCCACCATCAGAAGCGGCATGCCGCAATGCTATAAACGTGAGGGTCCTCAAACGACTCCACGTCTCTAACCACGGCGGGGAGTGGTCCACTCGTCCAAATTCAAATTGAGAAGCGTTGGAAAATGCTGGTTTTCGACATTTTCGTGCTCTTCAAAGTGCGTTTTCGAAATCAGCGCGTCGAATCACCCCAGGTAAACGAAAAAACTTCAGGTCGACGATTTGCCGAGCCACTGCCTTCAAGGCTTGAAAATGGATACATTTTAGAATTTCGACTACAACTTTGCGCACCCACAAAATTGGGAAGTACAGCGATTTCGTCTGCAAAAATTGCATGTTTCGCGAAGAAAAGGTAGCTATCAGAAAGAGGAGAAAAAGACGCATCGATTGGTACCTGAACTGTTCAACGTCTAATGTTTTGCGGGGTTAGAATGAGCCAAATATAGAATTTGGTCCCTTCAGAAAATAAATTCTTGTAAATGCATGACAAAGAGATGCAAAAAATTGCATTAATTTGGAAAATGTTTGTCTTATCAGGTGGCTATAAGAGCACCTTCAAAAGTCTAAGAAAAGTCTGAAAATTAGTGAAAGTTAGACATGGTGAAAATGAAGGTTCTAGTTTTCGTCAATTACCTTAACCTCCTCGAAGCAGTCACATTGGAAACATAGCCGCCGAAAAGAGGAAGAAATTCTGCACCGCATGCTTACAAAAAGACTTCTCTATCTTCATTTGAACGATTTTAGAATAGGTCTATAAAACGGCACGAACATCCAGACCCACCTAATATATTACTCGATAAAATTTTTTTCAATTTTTTTCTGCTGGAAGGTGGGGCTTCATGACCTAGGAAGCGACCGCTCGCGTCCGCGACGCAGTTGTGCCTCTTTCGCGAACATGCTCTCTGATCACTTTATAGCCTTAAAGCAGCGGCTCGGCAGAATGACAACATCGGGATATTCATCGTCAGCGATTCCCCTGGATGAGCCAAGTCCAAGATTGTGCTTTGCAGCTTCAAAAGATATCAATAACTCGTTTTCTCTTACGTGAAAAGTGCTATATGGGCGGGTCGCGAAAGTGGCTGCTGGAGCTAATAATCCAATTGCCGCCGAGAAGGGTACGGTGTCTCCACTCACGAGCCAATCGCGCTTTAGAGAGGCTTACGCCGTCCGCCCAAATAGCGCTTTCCACGTCTGGAAAAGCGGGTTATTGATATTTTTTAAAGCTGCAAAGCACAGTTCTGGACTTACCTCATCCAGGGGGAAGAAGAACGATGAATATCCCAAAGTTGTCATTCTGCTGAGCCGCGGCCTTGTCAAGGAGCCCGCCTTTCAGCCGCCGATCTGGTTGAAGCAAAGGGTGTATCGTTTAAACATCGTCCGTTCGATAGTCTGATTGTCGTAATTTTCACAGAAGTTTGAGCCTGATACATCTTCTTTACCCTGATAATTGCTGAAAGCAGAACCACTGCACGCAAAAAATGAGCTAAGCAAAATTTTGGCTGGTTTCTAGTTTCGTTGTTTAGAGGTTATTTGATGTACGAATTCTAGCGTATAGCGTATACTAGTAAGGAGTGGTGCTTTGTACTTAGCTAACGCAGTATTTGGAAACTTTAGGAACCGCTAAAGCTTAGCCCAGATGCAATATGCCCGCTCATTCTTTCTATCTCAGGATTACCCCCCAGTGAAAGGCTATATTCGCGGCACTGCATTACTCACTGCCTATCTTGTTCGGCCATTCAATAAGGAAGGTTGTCAGATCACATATATAAGCCACTTAGATCCTAAGGGTACGGAAATTTGATCAATATTACATTTTGTTAATTTTATAACGATGCTGTAACTTCAGGAAAGCTGCCCACATGGTTGATAAATCGATTGACGCGTGTGATTGCGCCTAAGATAGTCAAAAGACTGCATAAAGCATGTATTGCTTACCCTGAGTGGAAAAAACACAACCAGCCCAATTTTAAACCTTGGATTTACGCCGAGCAGCAGGTGATAGCTTTATAGCTTCCGACTGCACCCTGATGCTGATTCTACAGGTGGATTTCCCTCGAGTAGATTTGGCAAAGTGTCATGCTCAGGAGTATGAACAGGAAGTGACAGACGAATCAACTGCTCCTCCAAAGGTTGCCGATGATGAAGATGAAGACTGATTTATTTTTACGCTTCCTCCCCCTCCCTTGCCTGCTTATTGTCAATCCAGTCTTTCGTCTATACAACTTCTGAAACGCTTCAATCACGTCATTACTGATAAGCAACTTTCCGAATACATAATCATGACAGACTAGCTTCTCAGTACCTAAAACATATCATTGTCAACTATTGCTCCTCCAAACCATTCTTTCTTGCATAAAGTCCCACAGATGATTAATTAACTGTGGGTTGGGTTGTGTTACCTTAACCTTGTCCTTTGCGGTGATTAGTGCTTGATAAAAAATGAAAGTCTTGAATTGTTGGGCAATACTCAGCATCAGTACTCTTTTATATATAACAGCTCAATTCCTGCAAATCTCGAGGAGAACTTGCTCAAGATATGACCAAATTCTTGCTCTTCAGCACTGAGTTTGTCCGTTTATTATATCACGTGTATGCTTCTGCATAATCCTTCTGATATTTTGCAAGTGTCTTCACCACCTTCACCACCTTCATCACCTACCGTAATAATGCGGCTTCTTGGGGGGAATCTAAGATATACAAGGGTACTTATGGTAATGAACACACTTCCCTCGCATGGACTGGCTTAGATCCCGAACACTGCACAATCTACTCAGATAGTCGAAGGGATGCCTCCGGAGAAAAAAACGGTTAGCCGCCGTTGTCTCCCTCTCTGCAGGTCGCCCCTCGTTCTCCGGATCCTACCTATAATGGTGCTCCGGAAGTCCCCCGCGGTATACTGTAACTAGCCCTTAATTATGCTCCAAGACAATTATGCCCGTAAACCCCACTTAAATTATCTCTAGAACAAACAGTGTGACATACGATCGCCGGATACGACCCCCCCCCCATCCGCCAGGTACGACTTCAGCGCAACCCTCAACCCCGTTCTCTACCCCTCCCTCTCACCTCCAGCGTTTATAGATAGCAAGATAGAGAATGAAAACAAGACGAGACATTTATTTCAAATTAACTGCAAAACAATTTACTGCAAATTGCAAATGCACTTCACTTCAATATCCAAAATTCTCATCTTTGAACTCATCATCGCCCTCACGTCCTGCGAGTAGTCTTCTGCAGCAAGCTTCAATAAAGATTTATTGGTAGTAGATGAGCTGACTAACCTCCAATTCCATCAAACTGCTCCTTTAGATGTGCATCTAGTACAATTTGCAATCTTATAATCATCTTTCAACTCCTCTAGAATACTAAAATTGCAAAAAACGTGCAAGTGTCACCATACTTCAACCGGCAACGATAACATTATGACAGTGCTTTAGCAACGTTATAAAACGGTTATCCGTTTTTTTTTGATTTTGAAATGAGGACTATTTCTGACAAAAAGTTCTCACTAAAGAAGCGGCGTAGATCCAATGCATTCGTAATAATCTATCAAAATAAAATCGCATCTAGGGCGTGGGAGAAACGCAAAACACATGAGAACAATTACGACAAATAATCTTCTTAAAGACGCACCCTGCAGTAAAACCAGCTTCCAGCTGTTTTTGCATCCAGCTTTCCAGAACTTTGCATGTCCAATCTGAAAGAGATTATCTTTTTCTGAAAAATCTCACAATTAGGCTCCTTAGTATGTAAGGTAAAGTTTAGAATTGAGATCAAACAACGCGCTGATACTTACGTGTAACATTTGCCTAAATTGGTTAACCTTGCATCCATGTGTTGGCAGCAAACAAACTGTCGCTCATCAAACAAACAAAGCTTCACTGTTTCTTCACATGAAAATCTGTAACTTGTTTATCAATCCTCTCATTTCGCTACAGTAAAAGGAACTAATAACTCAACCTAGCATACCTGAAAAAGTCCTGTACGGTAAATGGATGAGCCAACTGGTATACCTCAAAGGTTTTGGCCTGAAATGGAGACTGCTCATAACCAAAGGTTGATGGGTTTTCGTAGAATCTAAGGTAAGTAAACAGACGTCACAGAGCTATTGAAATTGAAGTAGGACCAGCTCCAACCATAATTTGCCCACCTACATACAAAGTTTCCCTATCAGCAGTTCCATAGAGTGTATTGGGATCCATAAGATAGTCGAGCAAGTCGTCAGAAAAATCACCCGTTTTGTTCAAATCTGAAAAAAGGATGCGGGTAAGCAAAGGTCAGGTCTGAAAAGGTGCCTGACAGCATCAAACAATCAATAACTGAAAGAGATTATGATGTAGCTGCACACTCTTACAGTCTTACCGAATACTTTGCTGAACAACAACGGACTTTCTTTCATAGCATGCTTGATATTAGAATGATCCCACGAAATAGTCAAATCCCATACCTGAAACCGTTTGCAAAAGTTGAAGCTATCTGGTAGCCCCACAACAAATCCAATAATTTGGTACCAAGGTATATAAAGTCAAGGGGCACTTACCTTGATATGGTCCAAAGGGCGTGCTTGTCAAAAGGTTGGAGAGTGCAACCGCCTACAATAAAAGAGTGCAAAAAAACGTGTTGATGTTGATGCTTGCAAAGAGCGACGCTAGTGGAAGACTTGGAAGACACTGAAAAGCTACTATGTGAGAGCTGAGTAACGAAGACCTAAAGGATGATAAGGCATAAGGCAGGCCATGCTATACTCCTCGCGGAGTATAGCATGGCCGCGGGCGATCGCCAATCGCCACGACTGGAGATCGCCAGTCGCTAAAGTTGGCGACTGCACGTTAGCTAGCTATCGATTGCTGGCACGAGTCCACACGTCTAATCAGTGCCTATCCAACGTGTAGCCGCCAAAACTGGCGATCGCCAATCACCAGTATCGGCGATTGTGCCTTTATAAGTACTGATCGCTAACAAGTTACCACATGTCCAATCGATACGCACTATACTTGAGTCCGAATCAATTAGAAATTCGATCATTCGAATAAAACTTTCGAATATATTCGCATTCGAAATTCGATATTCGGAGTTTTTCCACTTTCGAATAATATTCGAAACTCGAATAATTGAGATAACGGGGTTTCGAATGAAATTCGAAACTCGAATATTCAAAAAACAGGGTTTCGAATAAAATTCGAAGACTCAAATAATCAAGAAATGGGGTTTCGAATAGATTTTATTCGGATGTTTTATTCGAATGTTTATTCGAAATCGTATTCGAATGAACTCCGTATCCAGATTATTCGAGTTTGTTGCAGAGCCAACCGCTGAGTAGCTCGCTTAGTCTGCATTTTTTTGCAAAATTCGATAATGCATTTTTTTGCTGCCGGGATCACCTTTGAACTGTATAAGCTGCATTCCTCCAACTGCTGACAGTAAAAAAATTAGGTGTGGATTTTGATTGATGTTATTGGCACCAAATCGGCAAAAAAGCTATCAAATTCAAGCTCATGTTCCGAGTTCATATACTGGAAATGAGTTGACATGCCTGTTCCTCTTCCTTTGCATTGCCCTGCTTTTGGTACGCAAAGGTCCACGCTAGTGAGCACACTTGATTGTAAGACTCATATTGCACAACTTTCTCTATTCTTTACCTTAGAGGTCTTTCGTGAATTGGTGTATTTTGAGTAAAGGACAGTGCAGCTGTGGTGGAGAATTAGACGGTTGCTGGATTTTGCTGTCATATCACCTTGCAACAAAGTTTTTTTTTCAGTAGATAGTACAGGATAGTTCTGTTATCACAGTGCATCCAAGATTCATGGAGGCTTGCAGGTAGTTTAACACCTGGAGCCAACCTATCAACTATGGTAAAGGCTTAGGCCGGACGAAGAAGGTCCACACTGAGAGCGAGCTTTGATTATGACAGGCCGCGCACATACTTTACGCGATAGTCGTATGCGATTTGCCAGTTACAAGATGTCTTCAAATGTAATGAAACTTACCACAAATTTATAGCGTGTACAACTTTCTGTTATAAATGGATAAATGCCCTGCTTTCTGTACTTTTAGAATCCGCCTACGTAAGTGTTGGACAATTTGATTATAGCCAAATCACGTCGCTACTGAAATGCCTGCAGTACGCTCGCGGCCATACTTTCGATACATAGAGCCATGTAATCTGGTAACCTTGACTATGAGCGTCATGATAGAACACAACCTTCACCTAGAGAGAAGTACAGAACTCATCCGGGGCGAAGCCGGATATTATGACATAACTAATGACATAACCATATAGGGATGAATGTGAATAAGGCAAACATAGTAGTGACATCCAAAAGAAGCTCAAAAAACCGAAGAATTGCATTTTTATTGTCTTTTTTTCTGAAAAGGTTTTTTTTTCAAAAATTCAATTCGAAATTAGGAGAAAATTTTTCAGTTAACCTTCCTCTAAACTGAGATTGAGCGTTGGAAGTTCAAGAAAGCCGCTGGAGTTCAATAAAAACGAGAAACTGCGCTCAAAACTTCCGCAGAGAGTCTCCACATAAATGCTGGTCCATCTCGTTATGGAGTGATTCTCAAAACCCGCGGCGTTGTCAGCGCTCCTGGCCGTCTCATGGGGGTCACAACGATATATGATGTTATAGGGCTTCATTATGACCCCGCGGAGATCAATGACGAGCCAAATGCCCCGCCGGCTCTGGTCTGTTTCCGCTGCTCGTCTGCGTCTCCGCGCGTTGCGCGCTACCTCGCTACCTCAAATGCGGGGGGCGGGGCATCTGGCGCTGGTACCCTTTTTTTCGTTGTTTGAAGCCCAATTACGACAATCTATATATCATATTAAAGCTCTTGATCTCTATTTTCACGCTGACAACGTCGCAAATTTTCTTCAATGATTTAAACGAGAAATCTGGAAAAAAACGGCGTTTTCGACAACCTCTTGTTTTTTCTTCAATTTGACTCTTTTCACTCGGTTTTTTGTGTATTCGATAGTTCTTGATTCTGTTTATGATGTAGACAACGTCGCCGAGCTTACTTTTTTGCTTATGGCGGTTTTTGTGTAAAAATTACTAAAAATTGCGTTTTTCTTTGCCTTGTTCTTTTTCAGTGCTTTCGCAACGAATTTTCTCCAGCTTGGACGATACTTGCTCAGAATGATGAGCGGAAGAATCCAGACAACGTCGCAGGATACGAAGAGACTATGCGGAGTGAAAATTAGACGCATCAAAAATCAGGTGGGCGTGATGTGCAACATATCTTCTCAGACGTGCTTTAACATGTTCAATACAGTTGTTGACACGTTTTCCTCCTTTCGGTCTCCCAACTACCGCCACAGCTAAACGCTTTTTTTAATGGAAAAGAACTTTGTTCTTGTTGCCACCCAATTTAACCGGCAATCCTGAGAGGAGACTATGCGTAGGAAACCACCAAGTTAAG